CGTTTGAAAAAAAAATTTTAACCCCTTATTATTATTATTATTATTATTATTAATACTACCAACCCCAAAAAAAAAAAAAAGTAACGATCTATTACAACGTTCGCTCGCGATGATGATGATGATGATGATGTAACAAACGTTGTTGTTATTATTATCATTATTCGTTCCTTAAAAAAAAAAAAAATTTTCTAAACCGATTTTTAGGTTCATTATTAATATTATTATTATTATTTTTCTAAAGTTGCATTATCAAATGTTTCCCTTCCCCACCCCCACTCTTTCCGTCCGACATTTTCGATATAGATGACTGAACAAGAGAGAGAGAGGGGGAGAGAGAGGGAGAGAGGGTGAGTGAGTAAGTAAAAAAAAAAAAGGGGGAACGATGACTGACGAACGCCATTTTCCTTTTTTTTTTTTTTTTGTTCCCACGACTCGAATATAATCATTTTAATAAAATTCAAAAGGATCAAATCACGACTTTAACTCATACTATTATTATTATTATTATTATTATTATTATTATAAAAAAGGAACGAACGAAACCTTTCGACCTTTTCGCCTTCTTTAACCAACTCATTAATTTTTTTAAATAATGATAATAATGATAATAACAAATCGCGTGCGAAACGTATTCAAATTTTTAGATGAGATGATTACAAAATAATAATAATAATAATAATAATAATAATTATCAATAAGTAAATTAATTTTTCAAAAGGAAGGAAAGAAGGAAGGAAGGATGGATAAAATTTCGTGCGCTTTTTTAAAAAAAAAAGGCGCGCGTTTAAAAAAATTTCAAAAAAAAAAAAATGGATAGTTTTTAAAAGAAGTACAAACGTACAATATATTTTTAAATGTAAATAATAATAATGATAATAATAATAATGATAATAATAATAATAATAATGAAATTTATGTCAATTGGAAAAAAAACGCGTGCGGTTTTAACTCGCACATAAAACGACTTTGATAATAATAATAATAATAATTGTAATAAATGATAACGATTTATTCCCACGCGTTTTTTTTTTTTTTACAACACGCACACGCACACACGCTCACGCATGCACGCACGCACGCACGGACACTTGGATCGTATTCAAATGGGAAATGTATGGATGGGTTGTGGGTTGGTTACATGCATTTGCGCACGTATGCACGTGTGCGTACGTGTGTGTGTGTGAGTGTGCTGGGAGGGTTATTGTGCGTGTGCGTGTGCGTGAACGTACGTAAATTCAATCGTTGTAAATATAAAATAAAATAAAATGGGAAAATGAAAAAAAAAAAAGATTCGTGCTCATTTAATTAGTTTTTTTTGTTCACCCCACCTGCCCCACCCTTCCCTCCCTCTCTTCCCCTCCGACCCCATTGTCCTCTCCCTACCTTTATCCTCATCGTTTTCCTATATATATATATACATACGTGTACAAACAAACAAACAAAGAAAGAAAAAATTAAAATATTTTTATTTATTTACGAATATACATACACACATATATATATATATATATATTTATATATAAATGTTAAATTATAAACGAAGTAATATATATATAAAAACAAATCGATCGATGTGAATTTATTATTATTATTATTATTATTGTTTTGTTATTATTATTATTATTAGTTTATTAATAAATAAATAAATTATATTTGTATTATAATTACGACCGATGATTATAAATAACAAAAAACAAAATGGCGGAT